AATCAAAACTTTGAACAGATTCAAAATCACCAATATATGCATGTAATTTATCAAGTACTTCCAACGAGTTCTTGACACTCCAAAAGTAATTAATTCCACTATTTTCGAAGGCCTTATTTGAACAATTTATTATCAGGTTTTTGATTGTACCAAGTGTACTGGTAAGAAGAATAGACAATTTAGTAGTGGAACAATGGCTTGAAGACGAAATGAATCTATATTTGTAAGGTGTTTTGTGTAGCTTCGGAAGCCAATACATAGATTGGACTTTCATTGTATTTGGTTCTGCTTGAAAAGCGGTAGCTAAAAGTTTGTTTGTTACAGATGTCGTTTTCTGAAAATGGAGTCAGTTGGAATGTTGGTGAATTGGTGATTTCTTATTTCAGAACCTCAATGTAAAATTTACGTCAAACAATAATAATATTACTAGTATCTCAATTGTTTGTAAAACAATTGAAAGGTCTTTCCTGTAAAATTGATGTTTTTGTAATGTACTCTTTAAGACCTTTCATTTGATATACGACAAGCATACCTTCTGAAAGTTTTCACTTTTTACACTTAATGACCCCATCCGCCTACATTTTTGATATCGGAAGTATGATATATGTAATGTAGACTTGATGATCTTTCATATGATATGTGACAACGCCATGTTCTAGAAAGTTTGATTTTTGCACTTAATAACCCCATCCACCTCATTTTTGGAGGACAGGAATTTGATATTTGAAATGTACACTTTATGACCTTTCATTTGATATACAACCTTACCTTAGAAGACAATTTATTTTCTGCACTCAATGACCCCACCCAACCCATTTTTTGGGGACGTCAATTGATATTTGAAATGTACGCTTTATGGACTTTCATTTGATATGCGACAACCTAACCATCTGAGAAGTTTGAATTTTTTGCACTAAATGACCCCACCCTTCCCACTGGGATGAAAAAGGGGTTTGAAATTTTCATTTTTGAGTAGAGCTCATTAAGACCTTCAATTTGATATACATAATGACCGCATTTGGCAAAGTGCCAAAAATGATGCAATATCAATTATATAAATAGAACTTATGAAACTTACAAAGTCAATGTAAAAGATGAAAATTTCAAATTGATTTTTTTTTTGAGTTTTTCATTGAAAGTTTCTGGTAATTAGTCAAACATATAACCATGTTTAAGTCTTCAATTTCTGAAAATTTCAGGTGGAAAGCTGTTGTTGATTCAGAAATACATGCCTCCGCTCGCAAAATTTCAAACTGCATTATCTCTAAGTCGACAATAGATATTTCAAATCTGTTAAATGATAATTGATCTGCCGTTGAAGGACAACATTGTAGACAAAAATTTGGGACAAGTCCAAAATTCATCAAGGTCACAATGAATCATCAAATATATGATTCAATACAAAACTTGAGAACCGGAAGTCGTAGAGACATAAGACTACCACCATTCAACTCAGGACCACTTGACCTTTCAAATGTCACAAGGTCAAGGTCATAGTACACTTTGAAGGTCAAGGTAAAATTTCATCATGACCTGACATTGACCTCAAACTGACGGTCTTAAAATACTGATCATTTTTGCAGTTTATAGAAGGGTGATATCTGTTACCTTTTAAAATATATGCACACAAAACTTTACTTTATCTCGTCGTAACTTTTGAACAGACGGTCGGACATTTTTGAGCTTAATGTATAAAATATAGAGCTCGTCGAGAGGAACATTTTATATACAGTATGTATGCAGCAAACTCTTATCGTTTTCTTAATATGTAAGCTTGAAATTGCAGCGTAAATTGTTTTTGCACTCAGTGACCTTTGACCTTGGGTGCAAATTAAAGGTCACATGAATTAAAGATTATTGGTGAAGATCCCAAGTCTCTATGACTTCCGGTTCTCGAAATACAATTTTTAAAAAATTGTGTAAATTTTTTCAAGGGAAATAACTCCTTATAAGGATTGATAACATACTAATTGTTTATGTTAATTAACATAGCCAAATGTTACTGTAGATGCTGCCATTTTCAATTCGATTCTATCTCTTATACTTTTTAAGAAAAATGCAAATAAAAAAAATTGTTTCAAGGGGATGCAACTCTCAAAGGGGATAATGAAATCCTACGTGCCCTCATATGGTAATACATCATGATAAGATCTACCTATTGTCCACATAAAGTCATGATATCTTTAAAAACAACGAGGAGGGGGCATGTTGAAAAAACCCAATAAAAGGAAGATAACTTCTACAGGGGATGCTGAAATCCTACGTGCCCTCATCTAGTAATACTTCATGATGAGGTCTATCAATGATCCATATTTGGTCTTGATAACTCCAATAGAAACGAGGGGAGGCCATGTCAAAAAAATGCTGGAAGAAAAAAAAAAAAAAAAAAACATTAGAAAAACTAGTATCTCAATTGTTTGTAAAACAATTGAAAGGTCTTTCCTGTAAAAGTGATGTTTTTGTAATGTACTTTTTAAGACCTTTCATTTGATATACGACAAGCATACCTTCTGAAAACTTTCACTTTTTACACTCAATGACCCCATCCGCCTACATTTTTGATATCGGAAGTATGATATATGTAATGTAGACTTGATGATCTTTCATATGATATGCGACAAAGCCATGTTCTATAAAGTTTGATTTTTGCACTTAATAACCCCATCCACCTCATTTTTGGATGACAAGAATTTGATATTTGAAATGTACACATTATGACCTTTCATTTGATATACAACAACCTTACCTTAGAAGACAATTTATTTTCTGCACTCAATGACCCCACCCAACCCATTTTTTGGGACGTCAATTTGATATTTGAAATGTACGCTTTATGGACTTTCATTTGATATGCGACAACCTAACCATCTGAGAAGTTTGAATTTTTTGCACTAAATGACCCCACCCTTCCGACTGGGATGAAAAAGGGGTTTGAAATTTCATTTTTGAGTAGAGCTCATTAAGACATTCAATTTGATATACATAATGACCGCATTTGGCAAAGTGCCAAAAATGATGCAATATCAATTATATAAATAGAACTTATGAAACTTACAAAGTCAATGTAAAAGATGAAAATTTCAAATTGATTTTTTTTTTGAGTTTTTCATTTAAATTTTCTGGTAATTGGTCAAACATATAACCATGTTTAAGTCTTCAATTTCTGAAAATTTCAGGTGGAAAGCTGTTGTTGATTCAGAAAAACATGCCTCCGCTCGCAAAGTTTCAAACTGCATTATCTCTAAAACGACAATAGATATTTCAAATCTGTTAAATGATAAATGATCTGCAGTTCAAGGACAACATTGTAGACAAAAATTTGGGACAATTCCAAGTTCATCAAGGTCACAATGAATCATCAAATATATGATGCAATACCAAACTTGAGAACCGGAAGTCGTAGAGACATGGGACTACCACCATTCAACTTAAGACCACTTGACCTTTTAAATGTCACAAGGTCAAGGTCATAGTACACTTTGAAGGTCAAGGTAAAATTTCATCATGACCTGACATTGACCTCAAACTGAAGGTCTTAAAATACTGATCATTTTTGCAGTTTATAGTAGGTTGATACCTGTTACCTTTTAAAAGATATGCACACAAAACTTTACTTTAAAGAATTATCTCGTCGTAACTTTTGAAAAGACGGTCGGACATTTTTGAGCTTAATGTATAAAATAGAGAGCTCGACGAGAGGAACATTTTATACACAGTATGTATGTAGCAAACTCTTATCGTTTTCTTAATATGTAAGCTTGAAATTGCAGCGTAAATTTTTTTTGAACTCAGTGACCTTTGACCTTGGGTGCAAATAAAAGGTCACATGAATTAAAGATTATTGGTGAAGATCTCAAGTCTCTACGACTTCCGGTTCTCGAAATAGAATTTTTCAAAAATTGTGTAAATTTCTTCAAGGGAAATAACTCCTTATAAGGATTGATAACATACTAATTGTTTATGTTTATTAACATTGCAATTTGTTACTGTAGATGCTGCCATTTTCAATTCGATTCTATCTCTTATACTTTTTAAGAAAAATGCAAATAAAAGAAATTGCTTCAAGGGGATGCAACTCTCAGAGGGGATAATGAAATCCTACGTGCCCTCATATGGTAATACATCATGATGAGATCTACCTATTGTTCACATAAAATCATGATATCTTAAAAAACAACGAGGGGGGGCCATGTTGAAAAAACCCAATAAAAGGGAGATAACTTCTACAGGATATGATGAAATCCTACGTGCCCTCATCTGGTAATACTTCATGATGAGGTCTATCGATGGTCCATATTTGGTCTTGATAACTCCAATAGAAACGAGGGGAGGCCATGTAAAAAAAATGCTGGAAGAAAAAAAAAAAAAAACATTAGAAAAACAGTAAGGTCTTTCCTAACGGAGTGGAAAGACCTTAAAAAAACCATTAGAAAAACAATAAGGTATTTCCTAACGGAGTGGAAAGACCTTAATTAGCAGCTTTATCGGCCGGGACAAAAACAAATTCCTTGGCTATTTCTTTTAGTTTATGTTTGATACGAGAAATAGGTTTATTGTGGTTATTGTTAAGAGTAAAATGTTCTTTAAAATGTTGAATACGTATATCAACTATGTTCATTACTGAATAAAAAAAAGTGTCCAAAGATTTTTTGTCAGCTTTTTCCCGTTTTATCCATTTCAAACAGTAAGTATGGAGTGAGTCGTGGATGATATTACGACACTCATTCCAATTAATAATTGACGGGGGACGATATTTAGGTCCTTTACTGAGGAATGATTTTAACTCTCGGTCTTGAACGATGTTAAGATCTCCTGTTATAACATGGGAAATGGGTCCATAAATGTATTCGGAATTACTGCAATTACATGAAGTAGGTGTATTTTCACTGATATTAACATCTTTACACAATTGGCTATAATTAAACACAAATTGTTTACTACTTGTAATGATTTAAAAAATTATAAATGTGTAAGATATTAAAGATAAAAAATGAACTTACCTAGTTTTTACAGCAAGGATTCCTTCCGAATTCTTTTCCTGTGAGTGTAGGGTTATACCGAAGAAAAACAGGGAAATTAAAAAGAAGTTTTCCCGTTTAGTATTACACCCTTTAATCCATATGAAAAATCCTTGTGATATGAATTAAAATACATGTATAAGGTTATGTTTATATTTGAACGGTTCAGTGATTACACGTAAACTGGTTTAAAGAAGCCTTAATTTGTAATGTTGTTGAATTACCATGAAATATAAAGGAATCACAGTTAGCACCCTTTATTTCATCGGGATAATATTTTTAAGGAAACAAAATAAAAACAAAAATTTAAGCTAAACTGAACTAAAAATGTAATAGGATATTTAACAACTGAAGAAAAAATGAAAAAAAATTAAAATGAGTTCTTTATTTCAAATAAATTTGCAAAATATAAAATGTTGAAATACCACAAAATATCTACCTAATTTGGTAATAAATCGTATCCTTTTTTAGCTCACCGGGGCCCGAAGGGCCCCATGTGAGCTTATGCCATCACTTGGCGTCCGTCGTCGTCCGTCGTCGTAAACTATTTCAAAAATCTTCTCCTCTGAAACTACTGGGCCAAATACCTTCAAACTTTAACTAAATGTTCCTTAGGGTATCTAGTTTATAAGTTGTATCCGAAGTTTTGATCCATCGACAAACATGGCCGCCATGGCTAAAAATAGAACATAGGGGTCAAATGCAGTTTTTGGCTTATATCTCAAAAACTAAAGCTTTTAGAGCAAATCTGACATGGGGTAAAATTGTTCAGTTGGTCAAGATCTATCAGCTCTGAAATTTTCAGACGAATCAAACAACCCATTGTTGGGTTGCTGGCACCGAATTTGTAGTTTTAACAAAATTTTGCAGTTTTTTGTTATTATTTTGAATATTATTATAGATATATATAAACTGTAAGCAGCAATAATGTTCAGCAAAGTAAGATCTACAAAAAAGTTAATATGACCATAATTGTCAATTGACCCCTTAAGGAGTTATTGCCCTTTAAAGACAATTTTACACAATTTGTTCATCAAGTTTGCTAACATTTAAAAATCTTCTTCTCTGAAACTACTAGGCCAATTACCCTCAACTTTAAACTAAATGTTCCTTAGGGTATCTTGTTTATCAATTGTATCCGAAGTTTGTATCCATCGACAAACATGGCCGCCATGGCTAAAAATAGAACATAAGGGTCAAATGCAGTGTTTGGCTTATATCTCAAAAACTAAAGCTTTTAGAGCAAATATGACAGGGGTAAAATTGTTCAGTTGGTCAAGATCTATCAGCTCTGAAATTTTCAGACGAATCGAACAACCCATTGTTTGGTTGCTGCCACCGAATTGGTAGTTTTAACAAAATTTTGAAGTTTTTTGTTATTATTTTGAATATTATTATAGATATATATAAACTGTAAGCAGCAATAATGTTCAGCAAAGTAAGATCTACAAAAAAGTTAATATGACCATAATTGTCAATTGACCCCTTAAGGAGTTATTGCCCTTTAAAGACAATTTTACACAATTTGTTCATCAAGTTTGCTAACATTTAAAAATCTTCTCCTCTGAAATGTAGGTGAGCGATTCAGGCTCTTGAGAGCCTCTTGTTTCTTTTCACATACGCTTTTCATATATCTAATGAAGGTAACTGAAGGTATGCGGACAATCTTTTTCCAGTCAATGGTAGACACTGGAGTTCTTTCCGATGGAATAGAACTCTTATAATGTTGTAGCCATTAGGATTTTCTATTAATACCTTGTGAATTCAAAGTAATTGGAGTATCCTCTGGGAGACCCGAAAGAGTGAAAAAGCTCACACACTCTCTTTTCCTTGTTCTTTCTTTCTTTACTTCTCTTTCTTTCCCTATCTATCTCTCTGTCTCTCTATCTGTCTCTATCTCTCGCGAGCGACTGTATGAGAGAGTGAGCGAGGAGTGTGTGAGAAATTGAGCAAGCGAGTATGTGAGAAATGAGTGAGTGAGTGAGTGAGCGAGCGAGCGAGAGAGAGTGAGATAGGAACATAGTGATCATTTGAGTGAGAGTGAGCAGGGTGAAAGTGAGCGACCAATTCTGAGAGAAAGTGAGCGAGCGTGTGAGAAATGAAAGAGTGAGCGATTTCGAGTGAGAGAGCATGGAATTGTGTGAGAAATGAGAGAGGGAGTGTGAGCGAAGGAGCGAGTATGTGAGCGAAGGAGCGAGTATGTGAAAAAACGACTGTGCTATTTTGTGAGAAATTTGAGAGTGAGCGAGTGTGTGAGAAAATGAGCGAAAACGTAAGTGTATGAGAAATGAAAGAGAGAGCGAGTGTGTTTGAAATCAGAGTTTGAGCGATTTTGACAGAGCTAGTGAAAGAGTGTTCGATAAAGTGAGCGAGAAGTGAGCCAGTGTCTGTATGAGAGAGAGAGAATGGGTAAGTGTGTGAGAAAGTGAGAGAGTGAGTGAAGGAACAAATGTGTGATAGGGTAAACGAGTATGTGTGAAAGTGAACGAGTGTGCGATTATGCGAGAAAGTGAGTGATTGAGCGAGTGAGTGAGAGGGAGTGGATTAGGATTTAGCGAGTGTGGGGACGAGAGTTAACAAGTGTGAGAGAGAGTGAAAGATTGTGAGTGTGTGAACGAGTGAGATAGAGTATGAAAATGAGAGTGAAAGACGAAAATAATGTGACTGAACGAGAGAGTGTAGTGCGAGTGAGTGAATGGGAGAAACTAGGTGCGTGAAATGAACGACTAGGACAACTCTTCATAGTGTAATATAACAATTCAACCTGTGATCATGGCATTTTTTTCTTCTTTAAACTAACGACTATTCATTGTGTTTCTTATTAAATCCTTTCTTGTATCGTCTTTCATAATTAAAAGTAATTATCAAGTAGTGGAATATACGTTGAACCATATTGGCTATTTCGTTGCGGTCAGTTTTGTTTTGGTGGAGGAAGCTGGAATGCCAAGACAAAAACAACGACCCACAACAGGAGTATTGACCGCCTGCGAATAGCCAAGAGTGTTCAAAGTGGCGTTAAAACCAAACATCAAATAGATAAATGTCCGCATTAAAATTGAAAAATTCTTGACGATTAAAAACAAAAATATCATCAAGGTAACAGTAAGTGTTTTTAATCTAATCAATTTTATTTAAATGTAATTGATATAATTAATAATTAAGATTGGAGTTTGAACGTGCAATTTTAGTGTTGACTGCTTAGTGATGCAGTAGACGAACTACCAAGACCGCCGAGGTCCCTCGCTTATTTAAACATTTTTTTACCACATATATGTAGGACTCTGAGCCGCGATGGAAATCCGAATTGCGATGGTCACGCTGATGTGCGATGGTTAAATGCTGAAGTGCGATGGTGGCATTGTTACGCTATCTTGTTGATAGCTACGCCGATATACGATGGTGGTTACGCTGAAGTGCGATGGGTTACATAAACTATATTTTTGGAGTTTTTCATGTTCACATGTCGATGAAGAAGTAAATATTTTTGCTAGAAGCAGCTATCTTGTTTGATAAGTAAACCATCGAGAATATTTCCAGGCATAATTGTAACGTTGTAGTTTACTTTGGACGAAAAGAGGTCAACATTCATACAATCGTTCCAGCCGCTACATGCAAAGATTTTTTTTCCATTAAAACCAGTGCTTTTTTCAATGACTGAACATGTGATAGCAGATTAAAACGCAATATAATAAGTGCCTAATGAACTTATCACCGTATGTGTTTTTACTGCAACTAGAGAAAATATGGAATGTTTTTGTATATCCAACATTAATACAAGTAAATACATTCTTAATACTACCGGTAAAGTGAAATAATTAGTAAACAGGGGAAATTTAGCCTCTCTGTAGCAGATCCTTTTTCGAAATTAACAGAAGTTTTGTTGTTTACGTACGATGGTGCTTGGAAATCTCTAACTACATACGGGTCCGCAGACAGACTCTTCGTCTTAGGATATTACGGTAAACGTAGAACTCATGAGAGCTGAGATTACTATAACACACATAGTAATCTCAGATGAAGGGAACAACGTAAAGAAAAACTGTTAACGCAGAATAATGTCCTCATGCAGCAAACTTAAAGAGAACGAGCTCTCATCTAGTATGAAACTATAACTAAGGACATATATAGACCATCGCACTTTAGCGAACAGACCATCGCACTTCGGCGAAGACCATCGCACTTCAGCGTGACCATCGCATTTCAACGTCCCCATCGCACCTCAGAGTCCTACATATATGAGAGAGAAATCCTCGAAATTCTGTAATATTAAGACTACGTATCTTGATAGCACTAATTGATATTAGATGTGAAATCATTCTCTCCTAAAATATCAAATACAATTGACTATCTGATTTTGAATCGCATACGTGACATCTTTCTTGCATGCATCAACAACATAAAACAAATTAAAGTGATATACGTTTGATACACGCGAAGCTTTAATAATTACTTGAAATCGCAATGTTTAAGTAAGTATTGAAAAAAATAAATAATTGCCATTTGAGGATTTATATAATGACAATTAACATTTAAAAAAAAATTCATGATGACTGTTTTAAAATTTCGTCACGATGTACATGATTGTATAAAAATCATCCCGGATAAAACATTTAATAGCAAAACCAAATGGTATATATAGTAATGACATGAACCCGGATAATATAATAACGGAAACAAATTAATATGATCCCGGATAATACAACAGCAATTAAATAATATGCAATAAGTACTGTCTTTTGGTGATGTAAATATATGGTTTTATTGACCTTTGAAATAATTATGTTCACTGAGGACAAGGGTCGAGGTGAATATCAGTTTTACAAAAGTCAATGAAGCCTCATATTACCGAAACAAAAGACATTTATTGTTTTATTACATATTCCGAGTGAAAAAATTATCTAATGACAATTGAGTACCAAAAAAACAATTGTCCATCAAATTTGTTACCATAAGTATACACGTAAAAGCACGTAACGTTAAGCGCGGTGAATATAACAATTTTTTCTTCGGGTGATTCAAAATCCAATTCATATAGACAAACCTCCTAAAATGATATCTATATGAAATAACGCTTCATTGCTATAAATAGATCACTTTTCTCAATGAACCATGCACATAAGCGTCAAGTAGACATGTATAATATTAATAGTCCCAATAACATACAATTAATGCTTAAACTAAATATGTGTAGAATTTTAGCCGGAACGCATACACCTTTGGTAATAACCTATATAAGTTTACAATGTTTGATCTATATTTTTTATTTTTCATGTCATAATCTTCCTGCATTTAATACTTTTTGCATTTTGAAAATATGATATTGACGTACAAATTTTTACTGTTTTCTTCGAATTATTTACATTGTTATTTATAATGGGATTCATCGCTAATGTCATTTTCGTTACATAGTATACAGTCTATGAGAGCATGGTATATAAAAGCATGAAGGCTCAAACTGATGACACACTTAAGTCTCGCTCCGTTGCAGTTTTACTTATTTTGGTTTGTATACTCGAAACGGATTTGCAAATTTTGAGAACCGCATTGTATTTGTGAGTACTCAAACTATCCCTATTTACACGAGATATGGAACATCAAAGAATAAAAAGAAATACTCAATAAAAAAATCCAAAAAAGATAATTTTACATAACAATATCGGTATGAAATACTTCTAGTAAAACAAAAACAGAACTAGAAGAAAGACGAAAAAACCAGAACAAATCAAAACAGATTTACACAGCACGTGTTATCGGTTCTCTTTTTTCTGTCACAATACATTCGAATATATTTTAAAAAGCCCATTTGAGAATGCACAGAACAAATGCCTTAAAGTTTGTGATTCGTACACAAAATTCCAAAAATAAAAAGGAAAACTATTATGAATCAGACTTCTTATTAATACATAACGTATATACATGTACGTATACTATATACATTACGCACTTCAGATGATAATAGTTTTCTATTAAGTCTCGTAGAAGATAGCGAACGCCTATCGCTTTATCAGTAAGAGACATCGGTTGTCGATTGATCTACGTAGCTCATCTATTGTATTACTAGCCTGTCAACACTGAGGTTGTA